CCCCCCCCCCAACTCCCTTTTTTATTCTCTTAATTACCCCCCATTCTCCTCCGTTTTCTCATCTCCACCCCGTCACTTTCCAGGGCTAAATCCGTCAAACCGAAATGTTATCCACTTACTAGACGGAACGGAACGGAACGGGACGGGACGGTATTGCGTATTGTCTGTGCTCCTTTTTTTCATCATTTATTAATTAAATAATTTATTTACCTTTAAAGATTTTATGTGGTGGAGTCCTACGGTCCTACCTCGATACCTCTCTATGTACATAGTAAAACGCGTTTACCCATTTTCACATTTTTCCGAATTAAATTTTTTTTTCAATGCATTTAATGTTTTCCTGTGACTGAAATTTGTCATAGCCATATAGAATTCAACTTTTACATTATTCAATTTTGGAAGGGAAACAGTTTAAATAATTCACTATAAAGCTAAGCTATATATATATATAATATAGTTCAGAAACGGGTGTATTAGAGTGACAAGAAGCGGTAAAAATTCACAGTCTTTCTTTTTATAGGGAATATTAATATGTTTTTTACTACATTTCTCAAAGTAGGTTTTTTAAAAAAATTCTATAATGTGATATCTATGGAAAATCTACATCTTTTGGTAATGGAAACCCTTTTAAACTCAACCATTTACTCAACATATTTATAAATACCATCGTTTTATTTCTTTATTCGTTTGGTCTCAGTAAGTGTTTTTATTTAATGGTGACACATTTTTTTTATTGAAACATAATTATAAATAAATTAGGGGTGATTTTAGTTTTAGGGTAAGTATTTTTTAGTCATAAAATTTCTTTTGCTTCCAAGCAAGATATTTTACCTATTTATATATAAGGTCCGTTACGTACGGACCAATCATGTGTTTTGCAACAGAGGCGAAGTAATCTGAAGAAAGGTATTTGGTGTGATTCTATAACAAGTTAATTACGCTTATATTTTTCATAATTCCACCGTATGTGTAGCTTTTTCAATTTAAAATTACAAGGATTTTTGTTCACACTCCACCCCAAAGAAAATGCGCAAGGATTTTTCTATCAGTATTTATTATCCCTATATAATATAACTAAAGATAAACATTTTAATTCAGTTATAAAGAACTAAACCAAAATAAAATAAATAACATGTAATATAACTATGTTTCAATTAAAATTGCTTTAAAAATATAAAATTTTAAATTAAACACAAAAAGAAGGATTTTTATTTTAAAAAATAAAATCAAACAAATTAAAATGAAACAAAATATTTAAAAAAATCTAAAAATATATAGCCCTCTAAAATAAAAGAGAAAAATAAAGGTTGCCTTAACGCGCGTAAGAAGCACGTGATGGAACGGCTTCAGATCCGACGGGAGTTAAACGTCTTTATCCGTACATTTACAAATTTGATTGGGCCGTGTGAAGCACGCGCCAGAAGTATCATAACTTGCTCTCTTGTCCGCAAACAGAAGAAAGGACAATACAGTCAACATTTAATTGGTAACGTTTAACAATAATTAATTATTTTAAGCCTACTAATCAAATTAAAACTCATTTTCATTCTTATGATTCCATTCGAAAAAAAGAGGAGGAGGAATCATAATCGTAAATTTGAAGACAGGTGAAAAATGCAAATACAACATTTGGAAATATATATGGAGAAAATAAATAAATAGCATTAAAACCTAACAAACACATTAAAGTAAAAATATAAAAATACTGCCAATCCCGTGTAGTTATATACACCTTCCCTTCCGTCCTCCCCAGGCACTAACCATTTTCCCCCGTCCTCAGCCTTCTTCCCCATCTCTCTCTCTCTCTCTCTCTCCCTCCCCGACAATGGCGATGATTAGTTTGGTCTTTGTTCTCACCATTCTCGTGAGTTTGACACTAATGTCTGAAGCAAGAATTCCAGGTGTGTACGGAGGAGGAGCTTGGCAAAATGCTCATGCCACTTTCTATGGAGGTTCTGATGCTTCAGGAACTATGGGTATGCCCATTTCCACTTTGTGTATTTTCTCAAAAACAATCCATCTTATCCTCTGCAACACAATCCCTACATTATATATTATTATTATTATATATATATATTTGAAGGACTGTAAAGTCGGAGCCTTTAATCCCCTCTCGTTTGAGTTCTTGCCGACGGCATTGTCAAAAACTGCAGCTTTGAGCCGTAGTTTTTCATGGTTTCATGTCTGAATCCTCTGAAAGGTCCCAACTTTTATACGACAAATCTGGATTTCACCATGACATTAGAAAGAGAAAAAAAGCTCAGACCTACTTGGGTGTTTTTTCTTTGGCTTACATCCAGGAACTTATGGCCACATGTCGTAAATCTATCTTCCAGACACAAAGTCCGAACAGAGAGACACATACGCTTAACTGAACACCACAACTTGCTCTGTCTTGATGAAAAAAACAGGGGGTGCTTGCGGGTACGGAAACCTTTACAGCCAAGGGTATGGCGTTAACACAGCGGCGTTGAGCACGGCTCTGTTCAACAATGGATTCCGATGCGGAGCATGTTTCGAGATCAAATGCGCAAGCGATCCAAAGTGGTGCCACTCTGGCAGTCCTTCCATCTTCATCACCGCCACCAACTTCTGTCCTCCAAACTATGCTCTTCCCAGCGACAATGGCGGTTGGTGCAATCCTCCGAGGCCTCACTTCGATCTCGCCATGCCCATGTTCCTCAAAATCGCCGAGTACCGCGCCGGAATTGTCCCCGTCGCTTACCGCCGGTAAGAAAAACGCCCTTACTACTCTTTCGGAAAATGCAGTATGATAAAGTACAGAGGAACAAACCCTTAAGCTTGGGGTTTAAACCGTCTCTAATGGTGACAAGAATTGCTTAATTTGTGAGTGTTGAAGTGCAGGTTAGACTGTAGATGAAAAAGTCTCCGCCTTTGGGGATGAAAAAGCCAATGGGGGTGTTTTTGAACGATTTCAAACTTAGGGATCTAAATGAAAACATCTAGACGTTTCGGGTCTAGTTGAAAGAATCTTATACTGGATTCTTGGCGCGAGTCATCGCAACATTTATGTCGGGTCGTACTCGTGCTCGTACGCGGCTTTTTCCCACAGAGAGAGATCTCCCCATGTGGAGAAAGGACGAAAATGTCCTTCCTTGCAAACGAATGCACCTTATAGTCAAACCAAAATGACGAAACTAACCCCGTGACGTACGACTTATTTACGCAGAGTGCCATGCCGGAAAAGAGGAGGGATACGCTTCACGATAAACGGATTCCGTTACTTCAACTTGGTGTTGGTAACGAACGTGGCGGGAGCAGGAGACGTGGTGAGGGTGAGCGTGAAAGGGTCACGGACAGGGTGGATGAGCATGAGCAGGAACTGGGGGCAAAATTGGCAATCTAACTCCGTTTTGGTTGGTCAGTCACTCTCCTTCCGCGTCACAGGCAGTGACCGTAGATCCTCCACATCCTGGAACATCGCCCCCTCTCATTGGCAGTTCGGTCAGACCTTCGTCGGCAAGAACTTCAGGGTCTAACCCTTCAGGGGCATTATCGTCAAAATGTAAAAATTATAAAAAAAAACCCTTTGTTATGATAGGTATAATCTCCTATTCTACTATCTACTAATCTCTGTTTAGCAGTATTAAAATGTTATCATGCCAAAGGCAATGCGGAAAATTGAATTTGAGTGGAGGAGTAAAAAATTTATTCCTTGAAAAATTCCAATTTTCACCTCTTTTTAATTTTTTGCATTTGTTTTTTGGTGGATTTTTAGTGTGGGTTTTTTTAGAGGGTAAAATTGGAAGTCTATATATATATATATATATGTGTATGCAATGGTTTTTGTGGCTGGTAACTGTGACCAGTCAAATTGCAATTTAATTTGGAAGTCTATATTATATGTGTATGTAATGGTCTTTGTGGCTGGTAACTGTGACTAGTCAAATTGCAATTTGCCAATTATATTTGTGTTTAGCTACTTTCTGAAAATGTAATTGTATTCCAAATTTCCAATCATAGATATGGAATTCAGAAATTAATTAAAAAAATATATTTTCCATCTGGCTTCAAATTAGAATTAACGATTAATGAACATATGTTTTATATTTATTTTTTTAGATTCAAATAATTCAGAGCTAGTGGTATATAGTTGTCAAGATATAAAAAGAAATACTAATTCGCGGTAAGAGGGTCCATTCTTTTCAAAGGCTCTAATATCTGGTTTTAATGCTATAGTATTTTCATGTAAGATGTAATTCTGATGCAAATACAACCTGAAGTTAACTTTGTGTGTAAATAGCAGATAAAATTCGGATAGAATGCGATTCTTTTCCCTCCGCAAAATATCCAGCATTTTGTCAATAACACGAAATTGGCATTTTTTTATTGGCCAAAAATATTTTAATTAATAAAATAAAAAGGGTTGGGAGGATAAGGAAAACGTAAGAATCCTAGGATTTTATTTTGATTTTGATTTTTTTTTATTTGGGGGTTACCTATAAAGCATAAGACAAAACATGAATACTTGGATAGTGAGATTTTGTTCACAAGCAAATAGGAAAACTACGAGAAGCATTAATTTGGGCATTTATCTCTTTGCCAAACACCTACCGCCCAATAAAAATTTTCACATAAAAAAAATATTTTTTCATATTCAGAAGAAAAAAAAAGTAGTGTACAAACCGTAATGAAAATTACTCATTTTTTCAAATAAAGATAATGTTTATTACCGAATCTTAAATGAAATCAACCATAGTTAATATATACCACTAAATCATTTATTTTTCAAAACTTGTGGTTCATAGATATGTTTTTTTTAAATGTGTAACTTTAAAAATAAATAAGGGGATAAACCTAAATTCCAAAAGAAGATATGAGAGTCACATCAAGAAGAAAGTCCAATGGGCACTTAAAGAGAACGAAGACACGTCCATTCGGCGGCACATGGGGTGGTGCTGGGTTCAATTCATTCTCCTCCTTCGTCTTTTGGTGCAACAAATTACTGGCGGCTTATTCAGATTCAGGTTAGATTGGATTTATTCGTGTTTGATTATTTCAATTTTGTAAAAATTATAACAAAAATCAAAAAATTTGTATGGAATTCGCAATTCATTGCATGATAACTATGAATCCAGAAGATTAAGGTGTCGAATGGATGATGTTTTTATTTTGAGTTTTTGGATTTAGTTTTTGGTTTTTAGATTTTATTTTTTTGTTTTTTGTTTTTGGTTTTTATAAATTTGTAAATCCAAAAAAATATAGTTTTTAGTTTTTAGTTCAATTTTTTCATAAAGTGGTTTTATTGGGTTTTAGGAAAACCAAATTTTAAAAATTTGATTGACAATTTTTTGAGTTTTTAAAATCTAAAAACTCTCAAAATTCTTTCCATTCAACACCTGGACTAAAAATAAATTGCATATTTGGTTCAATTTTATATTTTATCCATTTAAAAATCAATTTTAGATTATTATTTTTATTTCATTTGGTTATGTTCAAATTTACTTTTTCAAAATTAAAAAAAAAAACCATAACCATTGGTTTTTATATCGAATTTGGTTTGATTACGATTATGTATGATTAAATTCGCTCTATTGTTTGAAACATTTATAACAATTTGTATTAAGTTGTAAACCCTAAGCTTAATATTAAACAGATGCAGAAACGTGGTATCAGTTAGATTAGAAGTTTCACTCTGGCGGCTATTAATACCATACTAATCAGTGAGAATCACAAAAACAAGCCAAGGGCTGAGAGGAAGGTTTTGGAGGTAACAAGTAGTGGTTTTTTACGTTACCGTTTGCGCTTAGTAGGTTTAGGTTTTACCCTCTTCCACATATCAAGCAAGAAAGAACATCCTTCCTCGAGTGTGGCCTTTCTTCCTTCTACAAGGTTCCAAAGCTCGGGTACAACGTACCGCCCGCTCCCGTTGTATTCTACCATTTCCCGCAACGCTTTCACCACGGCTTCAAACACTTCATCCCCGAACTCACTCTTCAGCCCTTGCAGCTTCTCATCTTCTTCGTTCAGTATCTCCTGCAAATTGGTATTGTGTTCATTGCTCTTTGATGCAAATCTTAGAGCAATGTGTAAAAAAAAAAGGGTTTCAAAGGGGGGGAGGGCATTATTTGTACCTCAGCTTCACCATTCCTTTCAATGACCTTAAATGGATGCCAACTCGGGTCTCTCAAGTATTCTTCCCACAATGAACACAGCTTTGCGGCTTTTACATCAGCTTTTTCTGCTGGATATTTCTCTTCTACTGCTTTCCTGAATGGTTTCTTATCGAGTTCTCCCATTTTCTTCACACCAATGCGAGACCGGGCTGTCAATCCCCCCAAAGCCTGCAAAACATAGTAGGGATTTAGCAAACCCTTAAATTCACAAGGATGATGAAAAAATAAAAGGGCAACTAGCTTCGGTTGTGAAACTTTCCTATAGTTTATCAAATATTAGAGAAGGCTAAGTCAGTGTGGATATTAGTAGTTTCAGAGATTTCGATGAGGTGGCAGCAAAGGATGCTGGAACGGTTATGGGTATCACGTTGGACTTTAGCCCTGAAACGCTGAATCTCAAAGGAGAAAATCAACTACAAACCTTGGATAGAGAGACGCAGTGAGAGAGGAGAGAGAGAGAGATGCTTACAGTAATCAATGCCTTGCGAGCATCTTGTAGTTCATCGTTAGTGTAGCCATGCTTCACAACGAGTGTCTGGTAAAGGGACTCTTGGTGTTCCCATTCCTCTTCTTTCTCCTTCAGTTCTTCTTCGAGCTTTTCCATCTTTTTCTTGTTTTCCATATCTTCATTTTCTCCGTTCATGTGTTTCATCATCAGCAGACCACCTCTCATACGCTCCATCTCTAGCTCAAATGCTTGCAACGCATCAAGTTTGTGCTCAAGCTCATGGATTTTCCCATGCAATTCCTCTTTCTCTTTCTGCGAGTGGCAATTGGTTAAAGAACTAACCCCGAGAATTCCTCGAACCATGACAATTTCAGTTTTGTCTTGAAACTCATACCTGATGCTGATTAGCCAGCTTCATCATATCTTCATCAGCTTTCTTCTGCTCCACAATAGCCCTTTCGTTCTAAGACAACATAAAAAGATACTACAATCACGCTTAACTATCATAATAGATAAGTCATCTTAAGTGTCTAACTGCTACCTTAATCTTGTCCCATTGAAGCTTCCTTCTCTCAGTCTTATTTTGTGCTTGACATTTATTAAGATATTTCTCCCTCTCCTCCAATTCTTTTTTCTGAGCTTCCAGTTGCCGAGAGGCTTTCTCGTGGTCTTCATATACCTTGACCAAATTATCACGTGCTTTTTGCTGTGCAATTCTCATTTCTAACAATAAAAATGTAAGCAGATGAGCTTTGAATACCGGAAAGAACAGATCAACCGCATAGTGATTCATATTTTATTGAAAATGAGATACCTTCATTGTATGCCTTGATCATTTCATCCTTCTCCGTCACTACTCTCTCATAATACCTACTGGTTTCATTGTATTTGCTCTCGATTTCTTTGAGGCACGAACTTTTGGTCTCCAAAGTATTGGTCAAGTTTAAGAAAAGCTTGGAGTCTTTTCTCTGATCTGCTGCCTCCTTACCAGTAACAGTTTCGAGGTACCCATTTTTGCGAAGGTATTTACCAACAATGGTGTTTGAGTAAAAGTCATCTTCTCTTGCGAGCCAACCATAAAGATTCTCACCTCGATCATGTGCTGCATAGAAGTCTCTCTTCCCCCGACGACTAACTTCAAAATCTTTTTCAAACATGATTGCGTTTTTGAACCCTTCCCAGTCCTTGTCAAACTCAACTATAGAAAAGCCAGAATGACCTTGATAGTTCCACAGTGGTTGGACTTTCTGGGGATTAAAACCTTTAGCAGCCAGTTCATCACGTATCTTGCTTCCACTCTCAGCAACATACCGACCTTCTTTAAGGTCTCTTTTGATGTTCGCCAAGATGCCTTTCCAAGGATGCACAAACTTTTGGTCCAGATCAGCAGTCAACGAACCATGCCTTTGGGCATATTTTGGAGCTACTTTAGTACCAAAGGCAAGACCAGTTTCTTGGGCAGTTTTTGCTCCCTCTTCAGCAGGACTAGCCAAGCTAGTTCTGTGGGGAGAGTACGA